CGAGAATGCCGTTTATTGACTCCAGATGTGCTTAGAAATGTCCGCGAAGCATTTGAAAATAGATTATATCATTGTATGGATCTTAACAGAGATTATTTTAAACAATACATACGATAATTTAAATTATATCCTTCATGTTTTTATTTTTAAAATCCAAAATTATTAAAACAGTTATTTCCACAAACCCATTGATACATTTTATAAAATATGTAGACGATTGTAAAGAGAATTCAAAGATCTTTTAAAAGAGGTATCACTCGACCCCTTGTAATTTACGTTACGTATACAAGTATTATGGTAAAATGTATCCTCTTTGAAATCAAGGTCGACGTATTTCACCACTTTTTTAGAAAGTTATTATCTCCGCAGTTATTTAGGGTTGGTTCCTTTCATTGGGACACCCTGTATAATCAAAAATGAGTGGTTCTTGTGAAGAATCGATAAATATTCGTCTATATGTAGTAGGGTGATATTTTTTTCGACTATTTTTTGTTTTTCGCTCCCGTCCTGAAATTTTGTTGAAAATGCCCCAAAAAAAATTCCCTGAAAGTTTGAGCCCTTAATATTTCATGGTATTATTTCGACCAAATTGAACGCTCTACAAAAGTGTCCATTGCGGCGATGTCGTAACTCACATCGGCGAGGTAGTACGGGTCACTAAATCGAATTTTTTCATGAAATTCACGTTATTTCGACCCTATGTCATAATTGAGAAGAGTTATAGAAAAAATGTAAATGACAAAGTTGTAGGATATTGAATTTACTACAAAAAATGTCCTCAGAACCAAATCGCTAACATCAATATTTGTCGAGATTCGAGATGTTAAGCCTTGAATTAATTTTACTGTAAAATTTTTGCCGATTATTGACTGAAACTTTTTGAAATCTTGTTTTTTTTTTGTATTATGATACATTTAAAATGTTAAAAGAGGTTAACGATACTGCAGAAAGGGGAGTAGCACTAGCCGAAAGTTTTAATGAAGCATTGACTCATAACGAAGTTGAGAGACAAAAATTTTTTTAAACTATTCAGCATCATCGCTCTCAATACACATTGTGTAAAAAATCACAATATATTAACAATGAATCAATGTAACGATTAATTTTTCTACTTTCAATAATAATTTATTGGTATTTTTGTTTCTATTTTCACAAATAATTTATTGTTGATAATTTAATAAATGTTAGTAATATATAAATTATATAAAAGTAATTGTATTTGTATGTTTTATACAGGAACCAGTAAATCCTTTATTTGTTAAAGATTCTTCAAATATGAGCTTTAAAACTGTATTGAACAAAAAAGTGTGATAATACAAAAAAAAACATGATTTCTAAAAGTTTCAGTCAATAATCGGCAAAAATTTTACAGTAAAATAAATTCAAGGCTTAACATCTCGAATCTCGACAAATATTGATCTTAGCGATTTAGTTCTCAGGACATTTTTTGTAGTAAATTAAATATCCTACAACTTTGTTATATACATGTTTTCTGTAACTCTTCTCAATTTTGACATAGGGCCAAAATAACGAGAATTTCATGAAAAAATTCGATTTAGTGACCCGTACTACCTGGCCGATGTGAGTTACGACATCGCCGCAATGGACACTTTTGTAGAGCGTTCAATTTGGAGAAATACATGTCTATGGTCGAAATAATACCATAAAATGTCGCTAAGCTATAGAAATCTGAAGAAAAAAACCCTAATTTTACGTGTATTTTAAAAGGAAAATCTTTGCACGCCTTGGCCGAGGACTTAATATCAATATTAAGGGCTCAAACTTTCAGGGAATTTTTTTTGGAGCATTTTCAACAAAATTTCAGGACAGAGGTCAAAAAAAAAAACAAATAGTCGGAAAAAAATCACCCTAATTTGTAGTCTATAAATATTGAAATATTGAAGAAAATAGTTGCCTTCGTAGCACAAGACATGTCTTTCTTCAGGATGCTCTAGACTAGAGGGTAAACTATTAATAGTAAGGTAGTACTTTCGCCTTGTTTTGTGTCACAAATATCTTCTAGATCAAAATGTCTTAAAAAAAATGGCTCTAAATATAATGTAAACTAGATACCCAGGAGCAATTGAAAAGGGATCATCAGGACATCTAATTGGACTAACATACCAATTTTAGGTTTAAGGTCTATGCCCACTATACCGTACCATACTATGACCGTGCCCGGACCTGAGTTTTTTTTTGTATAGATTCAAATGAGGATGGTGTGTCGATGCCGGGCCGGTCTAGTGGGCATTATCTCATTTAAATCTATACAAAGAATATTTTTCGGCCTATGCCGGTACGGTCACAGTCATAGTATGATCCGGTGTAGTGGGCATTGGTCTTTATTCTAAATTTTCACAGGTAAATCTACTCCGTTTCCTGGCCTATTATATTATTCTACTATTTACTGGAAAGTTGGAGCTTACTTCTCTAAGCTGAAATAGATTTTCGTCCTTATCGGAGCACGTCTCAGAAGAATTTTTTTCCTACTACTTTTACATCGACAAAATATTTTTTTCTCTATATGAGTTTAAAAAATTACTCCATTTTAAACTTTAGAAATATTCTATGATTCATTGTATAAAAATATATTTTTAAAAACAATATTGAAAACTGATAATCTTTGTAACAGCTACGGTTTTTAAAATACCGTAATTACGGTTCTGATATGAATGCATTCTTACCCAATCGCATATATTTTTAAAAGTATTGCAAAATCTGTCGTTAAGGGCGATAACGTAAAAATCAAATAAACAATGTCACAAAATTTACTATAAAACGTGAAGAAGTATCCTCAGACTTCATACTCAAACACAGTTCACAATGATGAAAGTGTTAGTTCTTTTGTCCTTAGTAGCTTTGTGCTTCTCCCAATCAACCTATGTTGGTGCAGGTCAACATTATGGGTAAACATTTTTTGTATTTATATTTATTTCTTAAGCTCCAATTGAATTAATTAATTAATTATTTTATTTGACTTTATATCACAATTTAAATCACTTTATATCACATAATATCACATAATTTATAAAATTAATCATTTAATAGTATATTATGCATGTAATAACCATTACATGAGAGTTGCATACGCTATTTTTTCTACACCCGATAAATAATCAAGAACTATAAATATTATATTTATATTTGTATTGAACACAATAACAGTAATTACTCGTATTTCTATAAAAAAATTCTACAAAATTGTAATTAATGGTATTACCGATAAGTGTGGAGGAGTCTTCTATATCGCTGATATCAGACATTTTGATAATATAATTATCGAAGTTTAGCTATCTACGAAAATTTAATACGTACTGATTTTGACAACTAAAACAATTACATAGGAACCTTAGACACATGTAAAATGCACAGCATGCTTGATTGAAAAATTATGGGTTTCTATTGATTTAAAATCTGTATCGTTATGGGTATCATTATGAAACGGATTATGGGCATATAAGTGCATTATTATAATGCGGGTGTAGATAAAAAGGCTCTTGTAGGCATTTTAAAGAGCTTGTTATACATGCAATCTAATTTGTTGATTACTGATTTAGTTTTTTAGTTATTCGTCTTCTTGTCTTTTAGGATTATTTTAGGTAATTCCCGAGATATTTTTTTTTAATATGACCATAGAGCCATTTTCTTTCTGTATTATAGCCCCATCACTTCTGATATAGCCTTCTTGGCACTTATTATCCTTTAAATTTTGCTCAATTTTTTTTTTTATTTAATCTAAAATATTTTTCCTTTATTTTGTGCCTTCTTATATATTTCTTCGATATAGTTACATATTTTGATTTCATTATTCATTGTATTGACTGCTTTCTCTTCTTGTTTGATATAAGCTTGATCAGATTAACAAATTATTTCACTACTTCGATTTCTATATTGTTTTACTATTAAAAAAATATTACAAAAATGGATATTTATGATTTTTAGTAAAAATAAAATAATTTAAAATGTTTTTAAAAAATGATTGGTCAAATGTATTACTTAAGGAGGTCCTTTCGCCACACCTCTCGCCTCAAATGTTAAAAAAAAAGTTATTAGATTATGACTAAAATTAATTTTTTTCTAATAGTTGAAGTCCTTATTTATCTAATACTGAACTTTTAGCTATACCTTACCTTGCAAATTTTTGAGAATTTTTTTTTTAATGTATTTGTACAGTGCCTCACGAGAAAGTAAGTCCTCAACAACAATTCTCGAATTATACTATTATTTATTAATTAGATGGAGTAGAAAAAAAACTAAAAATAAGGTTTTTGAAATATTTAGATTTTGTTTTATACAATAAAATATATATAGTAAACCGTGGAACTTATTGAGAAATTAATATTAAAAAATCACAAAAAATTTTCAAGTAGGTAACCTAGTTGAAAATTTTTTGTGATTTTTTAATAATAATTTCTCAATAAATTCCACCTATATATTTTATTGTAAAAAACAAAACCTAAATATTTCAAAAACCTTATTTTTAGTTTTTTTCTACTCCATCTAATCAATAAATAATAGTAAAATTAATTATAATTCGAAAATTGTTGTTGAAGTCTTACTTTCTCATAAGACACTGTACAAACACACACATTTTTAAAAAAAATTTTTTCTCAAAAATTTGCACGGTAAGGTATAGTTAAAAGTTCACTATTAGATAAATAAGGACATCTACTATTAGAAAAAAATTAATTTTAGTCATAATCTAATATTTTTTATTTAACATTGGTGGCGAAAGGACCTCCTTAATAGGGCAAATGTTTTTAAAGTTATCGAAAAAATTCAAAACGAAAGGTTAATATTAAATAATTTTCTGGCTTACAAAAAATAACATATAAACTTGTCTACGAATTAAATGAAGTTAAAAATTTATTTTTATTTAAAAAATTTATTTATAAGATGACCAATGTCTAATTATTACATCTAGAAAAATAAGATCATTACCAAAATCTCACGAGAAATAATATAAGAATAGTAATGGAAAATTGATTTACTTGTTCTAGTCCCGTACAACATCTACAATACTTACTTCAGCAATACAAATTAAACAACGGACAAAATCATGAAATCTTCTCACAAAACCTGTACCACCAATATGATCCAGAACATTATGGTCAAAAATGGTCCAACCTGCCTTACCAATCACAATACCAGACTCCAATCGCCCACCATCAACAGTACCAGTCTTCATTGGCCCATCAACAACAGTATATGTCTCCAATGGCCCACCAACAACAGTATCAGTCTGCAATGGCCCACCAACAACAGTACCAACAAGAAAACCACCATCCAGAATATTACCAACAACAAGGAGAATACATCCCTGAATATTACCAACAAGTAGGACAACATCCAGAATATTATCAACAAGGACATTATGTTCCACAATATTACCAACAACAAAATTATCATCAAGGAGTCTATCACAGTCAATCTTTGATTCCAACACAATACGCCCATTACCAAGGACAATATGTTCCACAGTCGATCGTTGCTCAACAGCATGGTTATTATGGAAATGTACCAATGGTGCATTAGGCTTTAATATTGATGGCATCATGTTTAATTATAAATAAAAGCAGATTTTTATGTAGTCGTTTTCTTTACATTCGAAGCTACAGGTACGCACATCATTATTTATAGTTCTAACATTAAATATCCCGTGAATTGGAAAGCATAGTACGTACTTGTACATGGTCCAGATTAACCCAGAAATATGGTTGGATATATATTATAATGGTTGTACCATATACGAGGAAAGTCAAAAAATAGGAAATTGGCAAGAGTAAAAGTCCCTTACTTTAAAAAAGAGGAAAATATTACTTGAAAAAATTGTTTACAATCCTCAATTTACAAATATAAAAGTGTTAGTTCTTTGCTCTCTTCATCAAATCAACCTATGCTGGTAGACGCGTCACTGTACATGGCGATAGCACCATATAGAAAGGACATCATATAGTAGTTTGTGCAACAAAAGTGGATATGATGGCCATATCGCACGAAGACTATATTTGAACACGATGCTGTAGCCGGAGTGCTTAATCGTGTGAGTTGTACAATATATTTTTTCTACTAATCACTATCGAAAATGTACAAAATTTTAAAAATTAATTTAGAAGTTATTCAACTATTCCGCTAAAGTTTGTAATTTATAAGGCATAACATTCATAATTGAAATGGTTTTATTAATTTCTATTAAATTTTCTGTGTAGATATTAAAGAATATCTAGTAAATTGTCATTATTTATCGATTTTTTACAAGAATCACTCATTTTTAATTATATTTAATTTGAATATCTAAAAAAAATTATGATCAAAAATGATCCACAACAACAACAACAACAACAACAATAACAACAACAACAGTACATCTAGAATATCTAAACCAAGAAAAACACCTTCCTGAATATTATTAATAAGAAAAACATCATCCCTAATATTATCAAGAAAAAAATATTATTCGGAATATTATCAACATGAATATATAACCAATAAAACAAACCCAATCCAAAATATTACCACCAACAACAAGGAAAAGAATATTACCAACTAGAAAAAGAACATTCACAATATTGCAAAAACAAGAAGAATGATTGTCTTTCTGAATATTACCAACCAAGAAAAATGTGTTCCGCAGTTATAGCAACAACAAGAAAAATAACTTCCAGATTATAACCAACAAAATTAACACCAGAATATTACCAAAAACCAAAATATCAGCAATGGCTCTACCAAAGGTAATCATACAACAGTTGTAAAATCCAACGCAGTACATCTATTACTAAATAGAATATCTACCACAACAGTCGACCATGGCTGAACAACACGACTATTACGGAACGAAACAAATGGCATATAATACTAACACGGATGACCTCTTTTTTTATTTTCCTGTATCTAGTAAAAAAAAGTACAGGAATTATTTTTTCGACGTATCTTTACGTTTTGGGGTCACCCGAATCAATTTTGACCATTTTCTTGATGATGTGTCTATTTGTGTGTCTGTATCCACGATAACTCAAAAACGGATTTATCCTGCGATAAGGTAACATGATTTTGGGTATAGTCAGAGCATCGGAAGAGATACTTTAAGGTGTGCAATTTTTTACTTTAAGTTATACAGACTGTACCAATAAAAACTCCCAGGTCTGATATTTTGGTAAGTAATAGAGATATTTTAATTCTGTGAAAGCCAATTCATAGAACACTATGAGAACTTTAATTGTAGATATAAATTAATTTTAAATAGGTCAATATGTAGATGGCGCTGCGCTTAATATTTTTTTTTTTTTTGATGGGATGATCTTTCATAAATAAGGACTTTTGTAAAAAATGCATTTTAAAGAAGATTTCGTTCTATTTTATTTTAGCGCGTTCTATCGGGATAAAAAAAACCTGTAACGTAATATAAAGTGTGATACTTCATTTGAAATCTAATTTAATTACTAATTCAATATAGCACATAACATTAATATAAATATTTCCATATTGCTCTTGCAACAAAATAAAGTTAGCAATAATGCCTAAAATAATGCATGACTAATTTTCAAACTATTGCCAGTACAATATGGAGGATATTTATATTAATGTTATGAGGTGCATTGAATTAGTAATTAAATTTGATTTCACACTTTATAATACGTACACTTTTTTATCCCGATAGAGGACGGTACATTTAAAGGTATCGCAACAATTATTCCCCATGAAATTACCTTTTTAATGATGTACTACATATGGTAGTGTCACACTATATAATACGTAATAGTTTTTTATCCCGCTAGAGGGCTGAAATATTTAAGTATGTAACACAATGTACAGACATATTTCTGAATCCTCCAATAAATTACCATTTCAGTGATGTGCCATATATGGTACATTATCTATTTAAAAGTAAGGTGATGAAGAAGTGCAAGGGAGGGGTTAACACATGACAGATGTCTGTATTGCAAAAATGTATTCAATTTGGAATAAAAATCGACTTGTTTTAGCATTTTCTTAAAAGCCAATGATTAATGCCGAAAAACAGGATGAAACTGTTTTGAGTTACCCACTCTGTATATCAAAAATGGCTAGATTTATCGAATTAGTTCATAAAAAAAAATCTGCTTAAAAATGAATTTTTTACAAGATACGCTACACAAGAAAGATTCTCAAATTGAAAAAAATTATTGAGCGCAGGGCCATCTACATATTGATCTATTTAAAATGATTTTATATTTAAAACTGAAGCTCTCTTAGTGCTCTGTAAACTGGCTGTTACAGAATTAAAATATCTCTATTTCTTTCCAAAATATCTGGCCTGCGATTTTTTATTGGTACACCTTGTATATTTCTGTTATTTATGATTATAGAATAAAACTATTTTAATAGGAGTTGTTTGTGAGGTCATTTCCTATAATTTTTGTTCTAAAAAATGGATCGTGATGGTGAAATTTAAGGAAAAGTACAACATTAACTAAAATGAATGAATGAATTTAGCAGTTATTAGGATAAAAATAACTATTTTAAAAATAATTTATAACATAAAATAAACTTTAAAAAAATATTTTAATTAGTCTTCATCCTGGATTTGAACTCCGGACCTATTGCATGGGAAGTTAGTACTCTAGTTCTGAGCTAACGAGACAATTATTTTTTTCTTTTTAATACTGATAATTAGATTGGTTTTAGTTAGTTTTATTAAAATTTATGATTTATTTGTAAATATAGACAAATATCTTGTAGAATGATGCTATTACAAGAATCTCTCATTTTTAATTATTATATTTATTCTCAATAACTAAAAAATATACTGACAATTAGATTGACAGAATTGTCACTTATTTATCACATTAATAAATTATAGTAGTCTGGTCACCTAATATGAACTGTGGTGAACTTCATATCCATACAGTGTCCTTATAGAACGGATATGAAATTATATACGTTTAGTAGAACACAATGGCCTACTTTTTTCGTTCTGTGTACCTATGTAGAATCCATAATATCCACAATAAGGTAGATAATAATGTTTTGAATAAATTTATGTTTAATTGATTTTCTAAACCGTTATTGATTTTATGGATCGTACATCAATATATTTAATAAGTCTACAGGAAAGTCATACATTAAATACATAATATTTTTGTAATAAATAATGTAATTTTTATACATATAGCCTCGTTTTCTTTACAGACCAGGCTGCTCAAAAATATAAAGTTTGAAAAAAGTCCACTAGCCTTAGCCAGTTAGTTCTATTTGCGAACATTACTTCCACTGATTTTTTTATCTTGTCAATTATTCTAAAAAATATTAGCACATAATAAAAGACACTTAATCAACTAATTATAAATATATATTTTTCTAAATATATATACTCTCAAAATCGCTAATAAATACCCACAAAAGTAATAATTCAAATTATTATACATTTGGTATCGTTTCTCAAAGTTGAAATTCTAGTTCTCAAATTCACACGAATATGTTATTCGCTGTCATTTATTATTAGCCATTACGTAGGAAGAATCCAAATAATTTAATTCAACGTTAAATTAAACGGTTATTATAACGAATTTAACCTCAATTGACTTCGCATAATTTAAAACTTATAGGTGCTAATTTATTTGAAATATAAGAAGAAAAAATTTCCAGCATATGACTCATTACTCATTTTGAACTTTTGCAAGTATGTGATTTTCCTGCTTAATATAAAAAATAAGTAATTTCTTGAATATTATTATATTTTGATTTGATTTCAAAATAGTTTATAGCCTATAGTGAAAAGGGCGGCTCACTATATATTTTGAGAATATATAAAGTATGCAGTATCTGTAACGTGTGAAGGGTGTGTTATGTTATGTTGATAATGGGGTGTTAATACACTGCGACCTAAAAGATCTATTGTGCCCCCTTCTGTCGCCACTGCACTAAGGAAATGTCTCAATGCCTATAGCGACCCTTCCAATCCTATTTTCTCAAGGAAGTGCAGGATTTGAAGTGGCTTCAAGTTAGGTAAGTCTTCCTCTTCTATTTGATATCCTCCTAGATATAGTGCCCTTGGATTCTGGAGTGCTACACATTCAGTTAGGATGTGAATGGAGGTTTCGTCCTCCTCCTCACAGAATCTGCACTCACTATCCTCTACTACTCTCAGTTTACTTAGGTGTCCTTTTAGTCGGCAGTGCCCGGTAAGGATCCCTGTTACAATACGTAGCCTGTTCTTGCTCAGGCAGATGCAGGCTTCCGATCTTTTTTGGTTATATTCACCCAGAAGTATCTTGGCCTGTCTCAGCCCAAAGAGATTGTTCCAATTATCGGTTCTTCTACTACCCAATTCTTTTTTAATCTCTTCTAATAATATGTTACTGCTGATACCGCAGAACGGCTCAGGTCCTACAAAGGGTGTTTGAGCCCCTTTCCTTGCAAGACTATCTGCAATCTCGTTACCCTGTACCCCGTTATGTACCGGGACCCAAGTGAGAGTAACTCTATTTTTCTCGCCTAGCTCATTCAATTGTTCTAGGCATCTCCATACCATTTTTGAGCTGATTACGTAAGAACTCAGCGCTTTGATGGCTGCTT